ATCCAGCTGGCGAGGGATAACTACGAACTCTCCCCCCTTATCACTAACGGACAATCTTATTGTTTTCGAGTTTATTAATTCTCTAATTTCCCGCATACCACATTTTTGTGCGGCTGTATGGTTAGAGATAAACTTTCTATCGCGGTAGTGGTCAAGGGTCTTGAGAACGCCGTCCGAAAACACGTTGAATTTTATGTCAACTCCATCGTTAGGGACCTGTTGTCTAAAGAACGTTTTTGGGAAAGGAGATGGTGGTAATGTCGCCGCCTCTTGATTTTTATCTCTATTTGATGTTTCTTGCTTGGCCTGATAGCGGAGTCGATCTTGAAGCTCATAAAGGTTGCATGCTATCCTACGCAGGGTCGTTTTAGAAATGGGCTGCGATGGTGCAAAACTTGGGCCCAATTCTAATAGCGAGCGCGCATTCTCAGGTATTATGTCCCCAATCACGGTGAGCCTAGATTTTCTTGGTGCATTATCAACCCCATTTTGACTATTATCAAAAGCGTAAGGAATTCGTTTGCGGTTGTTTCTTGAAGCTGAGACATGTGAATTACCCAAAAGATCTTCGAATTTTCGCTGTAAGGTTATTTTGGCATTAGATCTAATAAAATCGCATATCAGTATTGACCCACCAACTATCCTCCTCCAAAGGCGATCCTCCAAATACAAAGCATAAAAATGTTCCTTCGTTGCACACTTCTTCATTCTGGCAAACATCGTTCTGCTTGCTTCGTAGTGCAGCTCGAAGTAGTTCCATTTCGATGCCTCGTACTTGTTGGCTGCCCTCTGGTTGACAGCATATCTCGTGAAGTCGCTTTCGTTTTATAAACTTCGGCACGACTCGATGTTGAAAACAGCGGCGGAGAAAGTTGATTTGCTGTCTAGCTAAGACAATCTTCTGTCTTAGTGACAATGCTTCCTTCACAAGTCGAAAATATTTTGCTGGCACATCTTGTAATAGTTCCCAGGATCGACTTTCTATTAACCTCGGCATTGGAATATGAATGCGTCATTTTCTTGTTCAGCAATCACGAGGTTTTTAAACAGCATACATTTACATCCATCGTGACTATCTATTGAAGTAACCATTGATAAAAAAGTAGTAGAGAACCGGATTTAAAATCACAGATCTTTTTATGGGGCGATAGCGCAATGGTAGTGATACCATTCACCACGAACATCGCATTGATTATACCCTGCACCGAGTTCACCAGGCCTATCATCACTTCGGGTTCGGGAATTTGTTACCAGACCTGTCTGACACCAGCTCAATCCCTCAAATCCACATGGAAACGTTAAAGTGCGATTACCCCAACCCTCCAGTGAGGATCGACTCGACCAGCATTCAACAACATTCATGACGAAGATGGAAGGTCGTCAGGCAGCAACCGAAGAAACACGCGAATAGTTCCAAGACATTCGTGGATGGTGAATGCGAGTAAACGAATAAAATGTAAGAAGTGCCGGTATTCGAATAGAGGATATGAAGATGGGCCATGTAAGATTCGAGATGCTTTTAAATCAACACATGTTGCGAAACTTTTCGATATACAGTGATCGATTTCACTTTTCCAAAAAATTCCGTTTTACCATGAACTGCAACTTTTCATCACACGAAAATAGTCACGAGCAATTGTAGAAGTTAACTGCTTAATCTGTTTGCAATCACTGCTTGCATGCTTCGAAATCCAGTGAATAACAGTGTTAGCGGCATTTATAATACACAATAAAACCTTTTAACGATAGCCTTATTGGTGGTACGTTGGGTGTATATGTTGACAGGACTATAATGAACGTGATGTAATAGCGAATAAAAAAAAATATGAACGCGACAGGTTCAATGACAAGCTGTGCTCTGCTCAATGCAGCGAATAGAATGCGAATATGAGAACTGAGTCTGAAAGTGAGAGAATGAGTGTTTTTGCACAGTTTAGAGCTTTAACATGATTGTTTCCATAATAACATTTCAATATGGCTAAACGATGATCGCCGCTACTTCACAGTGTTACGCTGAAACACGACTGAGGAAGATGTTTTATTAATAAAGGAATGCGGAACACTTCTTAAAGTGCTTAAACGAATAAGAGAACAAAAATCCACCGCTGCAAAAGCGTTTTCATCCAGGACGATTTTAAGTATCTAAATATCAAGGCATTCGATCACCAACGAGTTAGTGTTCATTTTCGTAGATTCATTACGGTAATGCAGTATAAAAGGTAAGCCTGGTAGAGTGACTGTGCACTATATACTTTCTAGATGGATGAAGCATTCTAGCACAAGCGAAGCAGAACATCGAATTTCCTCATATTTTCCCCTCTTTTCTAGAACGATGAAGCACTCTAGCACAAGTGAACCGGAACATCTAATTTCCTCAAATTTCTCCCAAATTTCTAGATCGATGAAGTATCCTAGCACAAGATAACCAGCACATCGAATTTCTTCACATTTTTGCCTTACTGCGAGAACGGTTAAACATTCCTGCAGAAGCGAACGACAACATCGAATATCCTCACATTTTTCCCATGAAATTTGAAATAGTTCATGAGCAGCTTCGTCATCCATCGACATTTCCCATTTTAAGCGGGACAACTAACGAGGTTAGTTTTTCCCACAATTTCCTCTTCTTCTAATTGTCCAACACCAAACATTGTTCCAATGATTGAAGCGTTCCCATCCAATCACGCTTTTTTTTACCAATATACTTCGATGCAGTAACAGACTGTTAGATAGAAAGTGGTAGAACCTAATCAAGAGCCATAATGAAACAGTGATTGTGATGAATTATGACAACAACGTTAATAGGAATATTCGCTTTCGGCATTCGCTCAATAATAATCAACAATAGAAAAAACTGACAGCAACTAAGGGTGCATTAGGACGGACCCTCACAGAGTGCTTCCTCAAAACACTTTACGTTGATTATTCCGTTCACTTCACCCATCGTTCTCGTAATGCCCATGTACGGCAGAGAGTGCTGTGTGCTGGGCGGATGTAAACTGACGTGTGGTCTCAACTCAATGAAGCGTTGTCGAGCTTGGTCAGAACATGTGAGTTGTGCGTATGCATTTGTCATGTAATTACCCGTTAACCACAAGGAAATTTTCAGACATTGTGATGCACTTATATCAAATATGGCTCCAACACAAACGGTAGAAAAAAATGCCCCATGGGCATATATTGAAAAATGAATTTGTGTTTGGATAGAATTCAAGTATGAACAGCGCTTAGAAGCCTTCTTGTCAACTTTTTGGACCGCGAATTGCTAACGCTCTAAAAAAAACAACTTACGTTAATAAATATGTCAAAATAATAAATAAGCAGATTATTCCATAGTGCTGGTTCCTAAACGTTATATTCATAAGAACAGCAAAAACCAGCAAAACGCATTTCTTGAAAAGACAATTTTCGAACGCCGCAAATGGAATATTCTATAAGCGCAAGCAATCGTACCTGCAAAAGATGTTTCCGCAGTGTATCATTTATTGGGATGCATGAATGCTTGAAAAACTGATCCTCTCCCGTTTTAGGAGCCTTCCAGAGTTGATGGTCCGCATCAAGGACACCTTCCAAAGATGTTGGATCTAAAGGCGTTAAACTCCGAAAACATAGAATGCTTGCCAAGCATTTAATAACGACCACTTTCACAAAGCTCAAAATTTTGCAACAACTGTTTACCATTATAAGGTCGCTCCGGAATTGATGGTAATCCATAAGGAGATCTAGCTCCAAGAGGTAGCTGAGAAGTGGAATTAGTTCGTGAGTTATGAACGAATTTATTGGCATGTTCCAGTTTAGCCCGAGAGTTGTGAGAGATATCGATAAGACGATCATTATCAGATGCGGAGAGGTCTGGCAAAATCAGTATAATCCGGGCGAGGTACGAAATAATCATTGCGTCCGGCTACCAACTGATGCCTTGCGGCGAATAGAATATGAAATAAATAGAAATCAGCACTTAGTTGCTTCTGAAGCAGACAGACATCTCAGGAATGCCCTTTTGTATTTTTCAGGAAGAGACAGTTTGGTAATATAGAGCTAGAGGGTAGAACTCGGATAATGAGGTGTCACATACAAAGGCGGGATCTGAAATGAGACGTCACATGGATATGCCCTTCCGTCCCACCCTCCACCTTCCTCGCCATGTGGACGTCTAACAAAGCAGACACTTGAGGAAATTTACGATCCTAATGCAGGAAAAATATAATGTGTTAACCAAATGTTCACTGATTTCTTATCTGTGGAAGCTGTCGTGTATCCGCAGTTTTTTATGCATATTTGCAAAGATCACAGTAAAAAGCAAACTGAAGCCAACTGTTTTGAAACTGAATTTAGATAACAGTGTATATAAATCTCATTTAGCCAGTTTTTGTGGTACATTACAGGTGCCACGGAGCTCCCTATTGCGATCAAGTCGATCCGGTTAGTCGCAAGGTCAAGTAGCTGATTCTATGACCATAATTAAGAGCTTAAACATTGGCCAAAAACAACTATACATGCTTGCGCATACGTTCACTGTATTCTGCTCGTAGCCTTCAATCAAGTGAATAAGGACTATAGAGGATGCAGTCTTCGCTAATCTCCAGCAAATAAGCTCCAATACGCTGAATAAAAATACCAATGTCCGAAACTAACAGCAGAAAGTTGGGAACGACCTATGACTGGCATCAGGTGAAAAACAATAAACATTAAAGTGATCATACAAAAGCAAGACACTCTTCGTATAACTCGAAAAAAAACCACCAGACAACTCAAGTATGCATTAAAAATGATCGGTGAACTTACATAAGTGCAATGGAATCATTTTGTGTTCATTGTTTAAGAGAATTATGTGGATAGACATGAACCATATTTTACAGTTTACAAGGTTCATGCAACTCACCTCGATAAAAAACTTATCATAAGCATATCAGCACACCTGAGTACACTAAAAGGCTCTCCACATGCTCTATCGAAAATATGTGATTTAGCCTCAAGATTTTGGATTATAATAGTGTCCCTTCTACCAACATTTCAGGAACATAACGCGGAACATTCCCGAGAACATCCAGTATTAGTAAAAAAGCCAATAAGCAAAATGAAACTACTTAGATCGGAAAGACGGCTTTCCACTCATTTTCATCTCAAGAATCACATTTGGTTCAATGCATGCTGTACTATTAAAAAAAAGAAAAATAAGAAAATTCAACTGTTAAACGACAATTTCAAAATTCACACCACTACTTCGTCGAAATATTTGTTAAGTATTTCGAGCAGACCTCCAAACGGTTTACCACCTCATCGTGGCTGGGAGGTTCTCCTGGGGTGTCGATCTCTTCGTAGAGTCTCCGAAGCTGAGGAGTCCAGCCTTTCTATTACGAGGCCTAGCTGAGAGCAAACCAATACCAGGACAACCATCGTCTTGGAATCAAAGTCGCATGGTGGCAAATCTTCCTCTGATCCACAAGGGCCGCGACTGCCTGTGGTGGTGAAGACTTGGGCCAGGTTGACCTAGGAATTCCAGAGAACTACAATGGCTTAACCAACAAATCTCCGAAAAATGGAGAATATTCTGCGCCCACACAGTGAGGACGAGCCATTCAAGTATCAAGTATCAAGTATTTCGAGCAGACTATTAGCCGACTCGGGGTTTGACAGGTGTGGTCGCAGTCTATCGAGAGCACTATTTTGCTTACGAATGGGCGAAACAGTTCTGATAGTTTAAAACTTGTGCAGGCTTTGAATATGACGTATACACAATACAAAGCCTCTTAAGTCAAGCGAAATATACCGTTTTTTCCACCGAATCGAACAATCCAAGCCAAGCCATATTAAGCTCGAATAGTTTCCACACGTTTAAATCGCTGTAGCAAATAAATGAACTAAGCGAATTCACGGGAATACCAGCGATGATTTAAATAAATCAATAATCAGTTTCCTATAAGATTGTCAGCTGCACTAGAAAAATGAAAATACCTCTATTTAACTTTTGGTTCCATTACAAGTCAGCTTACCACTTAATAACATCTACACTGAAGGAAACTGCATTATTGGTTTCATGGTGGGTTAAACTGGTTCGTATCCACATTCAAGGAAAATACGCTAGTATTACCTTGGTAGCAGCTGCTACCTACCTTATATTTGATTGGATGCAAGTGAGTTCTCTTTTGCACATACAAATTACATGTTCCTCTCATTCCAGAGCATAGAATTATAGCTACGCTCTAGATGATAACACTATGGCGTTGTGGATTAAAAAAAGTAAGGCTAGGCTTCAAATGGACAGTTGACAACGGACTACCAGCAACAACATGGACCCCGCACATGATTGAGAATGGCTCAGTACTGTTATTTGTTGGTATCGTTAAGAAACCCTAAAATAATATTGAATATAATTTCATTGCCGAATATTCAGAGATGGGTAAACACTTTATAGTGTGACGACATAACTGTTTCACGATTGATCGACAAAACATATTTGTCTGGATGAGGTTTGTTGACGTTATTAAAAATCATTTTACGACAATATAAAACAAAACGCTCTTGATTTGTGGATTTCGAAAAGCCTTTGCTTTTATCCCATTAAAGACGATCAGTAACTACCAATATGGGGATTATGTCTAATACGCTTATGTCGTGCATGTATAACTGGAAAGTGAGTAACGTCCTTCGAAGAAACTGCAAAAGGCATTCGTTCCTAGATGTCGATGGCGAACAGTAGTGATGCAAATTTTGGAGTTTTCAGCTGCCCAACATTAATATCAGGTTTTCGTCGAATAGCATAATTTTTTGCACAATGGTAACCTAAACTGAATTTCTCGCTACTAGTTCAGCATGATTTCTGGTCTTTTGGCATGCAAAATGTTTGTTTTAACGTATTCAACTCTCAAGAACTGGCTACATGTCCATCCAACTAGCTTCAACAGATCATATACAACCTTTTCTGCAGTGTTTCATTGCAATTTCAATCCGGCTTCTGTAATTTTACAACACTTTAATTTCCAAAAAACGCAATATTTACTCGATGCAGAGTTCGAATTAAGCATCTCGATTACAATGATGTAACTAATGAAGAAATTCTTGCTTACATTACACATGATTACTTGTGTCCTACCTGCAAGCACAAAAGCTTCCTAATTACAGCAGTCACAACAGAGAATATCAATCGATATTCAAAACTGGGTGGCCTGTGTCATAAGTGTTAGAAGTGGACAATGCAGACGTTGCAGGACGTAAACCACAGTCTGTCTGTCAAATGAATGCGATACACTGGGCAACAAGAAAAACATTACCTTCAGCATAAACCATTTCCCGTGTAATATGGAAGAACACGAACCTTCTTAACGGCTATTATGACATGGACAGTAGTTGATATGGTTGCGACGACAGTTTCCTATTGGAGACGCTCACCGGCAGATAAACAATACTTAGCACACTTTATAACTAACAAGAAAAATGCTCCTCTGAGAGTCCGTTCGTTCCACCAGACAGTCTGTTCGTGAACTTGGTACAGAGGATGAGGATGCTAGATCGAAGACATGCAGTAGGAACACAAATATGCAAGTGCTTGGGATCGATTCGTTGCCTCCTACACCGAATAAGTACATAAGTACTACATAGGCCGTTGTTAACCACGACTGTATTTGATGTCTATTTCTTTGGAAGCACAAGGAATAGTGCAGTTAGTATTCAATGCGCATCGCAAACGGATGGAACGCGCCATTCTAGGAATGCTGCCATCCAAAATTAGATGTCGTCGAGAGTGTATTTAAAAGTCAACAACCTACTAATATGGTGCACCTCTAGAACATTTCGTTTCACTATGGTATAACATACCAGTGCCACAGTTTCTCATAGGCTAATACGAGCTTGTTATACACTTCTTATGCGATCCAAGTTGCAATGATATCCCAAGTCAGATCTGAAAACCACAACATCGACAAAACACTCAACTGTTCAAGAGGTATGCTATATTCTTGATCGTATATAGCAAAGGAAACCGATTCGCTGAACAATCCATATGTGACATCAATGGTCTATTAAAATTCATTCTCAATTGTCATATATACATAAACGATAAATGATAATCTATTTACATACGATGACAGATTGCCTATACTGCCTAATTCCTAAATACATCTGATTCAGTCAACAGTGCTCGTACTTGTAGAAACGACGCAAAGTTTCATTCATACCGATCTCAACCGCTGAATCGATGGGATGGATGATGACTGGTATCGTGCACAAACCCGCCGCTGTTACTATCCACTTCCTCACAAATGTTGGCCATCGGCTTACTCTGAATGAGAAGGCATCAATAGAAACCGAGAAAATATGACATCGAGGGTACTGAAACTGCTTTAATAAAATTCATGACTCTAGCAAAAGATATTCGTCCCAACTGTGCACCGCCTCATCGTGGTTGGGAGGTGTTCTTGGGTTTCGGGCTGCTATGAACAACGTGGGGATTCATGTCCCGGCAAGGTCTCTCAAGCTGAGAAGGAGTCCGACGTTTGCATTAGAAAGCCCTGCTATGAGTGAACCGATACCAGGATCTGGTATAAAACTACGATCTTGGTATAAAACCAGTCGCATGGTGACAAATCTCCCTCTGATCTACAAGGGCTGCGACTGCCTGTGGTGGTAACGGCCTGTAGCAGACTTTGGCCAAGCTGACCTCGGGACTCCAGGGAAACACAATGGCTAAACTAGAAAACCCCCGAAAAATGGAGAATATGCTAGAGCGCGCACAATCAGTGAAGACGGGTCGTCCAAGTATCCAAGTAAGTAAGCAAAAGACATTATGATGGCATTCGTGGTCATTCTAGTAACTAGAAAAATATCAAAAGTATCAGAAAACAAAGGAAAAACACTAGTTCTGACACATTCAAAAACTCGAATTCTCAATTTCGATATCCTTTCAAACTTACTATTTGGAAAACAAATCGCATGCGCACAAAAACTGATACTTTGTGTTATTATTCACCCACTAATATATTTAAAAGAAAGATTTTAACCGGAGAGAACAAGAGCGGAGACCGTCAAACAGGACTAAACATGACTACGTTCAAACATTAATCGCACCGTTTTCTCAATAATGATTCAGAAAAGGATGGTACAGAGAGTCTTAGATTCCAAAGCCACCCACTGGTTGCGAGCAATTAATCGTTTGTGCAACCATGTCATAGTAGTTAAAATAAAAGTTTCATTTAAAAAGTCGCAGTTCTGCTAAGCGCGCTTTATCTGACCACTGTTTCAAATTCACAATAATGCCACCAACAAAAACTAAAAGTAACAAAAATAGAATGCTACCTACCTATTAATCAAAAATCCGGAGAAATGACAAAATCGGTTGATGGTGAAGCCAGGAATGATAACAGAGGCTAAAGACTGCCAGATAAAGGTGTCCACGGCAGCAACACTCACTTTACGGCTTCGTTTTTCAGGATTGTTTCTATACATCTAAAAGTACCGTTACAGTTCTCAAAACACTGCAGCAAAAAGTGATATATACATTGATAATATCTTAGTAAAAGAAAATATGCGATTTACGAGAAAGAAAATTCACTCACTGATATATTAAAAACAGAAAAATTTCACACATTATTCCGCAATAATCCAAGTTAAACAAAGTGGATTCCAGTAATTCCCTTAACAACTAGTAGCTTTTATCCAGCTGTTCTAATAGCCTTTTTTTTTCTTAATGTGACTTACCACCCAACGGTTAACCGCGTTATCGTGGATAGGAGGTGTTTTCTGGGTATCGAGTTACGATGTGCAATGGGGAGGGGGGGTTCATCCCCCTAAGGGTCTCCAAAGCTGAGAAGTTCAGCGTTTCCATCAGGAAATCCAGCAAAGAGTAAACCAATACCAGGATCCACCGCCGTCCTCGTATGAAACTAGTCGAATGGTGGCAAATCTCCCTCTGATCCACAAGGACGGCGACTGCCTGTGGCAATGGCAACTTAGAGTAGACTTTGGCCTGGCTAACTGCAAGGCTCCAGGGAACCATAATAGCTAAACCAGGTAAACCTTGAAATAATTGAAATTATGCTGGGCCCGCAAAACCAGTGAAGAAGAGCCACCCACGTATACAAGTAGGTAATATGACTTGTCGCACACGTTATTGTCGGAATTTATAGTCAAATTCATCATCGCTATAATTAATTATCACAGCAAGCTTGACCCTATGGTATCTACGCTATAGACGCTTTTGCCTTTTAATATAATGGAGTAGAGAAAACTGATAAATATAAAAAGAAATGCAAGTATGACGCACTTTAAACACTCTGCTACTCTTATCCAGAGCATCTGCACAAGCATATCCGAACGATACTACATATGTAGCCCTCACCGCAGCCAACGGTAACATTGAACGAAAAGCTTCTCCGATCTCATTCGCGTATCCTCAAAGGACAATTTGCATGGTAGGACAAATATAAGCAACTGACAACAACAATAGTTGTGATGATAGTAGTGCAAACAAGAACTTAGTTAAGTGGTCATCTCCTGACTGACTGACTACATTAGTTTTCATGATAAAGACAGTGTATGCGCAGCATCTACATAGATTCTCCGATCTAGAGTTGATTGAGAACCAGACTAAAAACAAAGGTTAAAAGCCATTAAAAATTTTCCACGTTCATCAACTAGAAAGCTACACAAAGAAAAATAGATTGTTTTAAACTGCCTTTTAGAAAACAACTATAAGAAAAGCCGCGCTCAATTTTTTCATGTTTCAGTACCATAACACAAAACCATAGGACAACGATTCAATAATAATTGAACTTATCCGCCCACTTTCTGCCTATATTACCACTATTCCTCCCAACGGTTTACCGCCTCATCGCAGCTGGGAGGTGTTCGTGGGTGTCGACCTACGATGTACAGCGGGGAGATTCATTCCCAAGTAAGGTCACCTAAACTGAGAAGGAGTCCAGTCATTCCGTCAGGAAGCCCAGCTAAACGTAAAACCAGCATCAACATCCACCACCGTTCTGGTATCAAACTAGCCGCATGGTGGCAAATCATCCTCTGATCTACGTGGGCGGCGACTGCCTGTGGTGGTGACGACCTGGAGCAGACTGACTAGGCTGACCTCGCAAGTTCAGGGAACCACGGTGGTTAAACCAGCAAAACTCCAAAAACACAGAAGTTGTTTTCGGGCCCGCACAACTAGATGAGGACGGGCCATCCAAGTATTACCATTAGTCACTCATAACATGGGTAAGGAGCAAAAACTTCACTGTTCAAAGTAGCACTGAAGGTATCTAAAGTATTACCATGACGTACCGAATCAATGGTGGTCAAATCACAATGGAAGATTAAAAAGCAACGCCTTTGAACAATTCAAATGTGAAGTGGACAGCAACCACAGCAGCACTATGCGACCAAATCTAGGCCAATAGCACTAACGGGATGTTCAGAAATTTGACAGAATATGTTTTGAAGGGCCTCATGATCCCGTCAGTTCGTTTTGCGAGTAATACACTAGAACAACACCTGTAATTCAGCCTTCGGCACTAGCGGGATGTTGAGGAATTTAACAGAATATGTTTCGATGGCCCTCATGGTCTTGTAAGTTGACCCGCCAGTCTGCGAACAATACATTAGAATAATTCCTGCAACTCGACCCTTCCGAACAATCGAAAATCGAAACTCTAGTCAGAGATAAATACAGCGTTTAAACGGTGATTCTAGCAGCCATTTTGGAAGTCAATGCTAGGACGGAAAGAACCAGCAGGAAGAGGTTTCATCCCTCTTTCGAATGAAACTTTACAAGAAGGGATTGTAACGAAACTCGCCCCTAGGCCAGAAACATAGGGAAGGTTAGCAACTCTCTCAAGAATTCCATAGACAAATGTTAGTTCAACTCCAAGGATCAAAAATTCAAATCATTCGTACGAAATTAACACAGCATAGTTCCCTATTAGTATAAACAACAAAAAACCTAAAACAGATCACAACATGATGAAACAGTCTGAAACCTTACCTAAATACCTAACAGCCGTCTCCCTGTAGATGTCAATTTGACGCAATTCCGACTGTATTGCCTTGCGTTCATCACTTGCCATCTTCATAGGTGTATGCCTGAATGTACTGCACGAGTAGATAAATGAAGTGAAAGAAGAAAGGCTAAGTAGTTAGGTTCAAAAGTCGATAAGAGCACTTCCACTCTACCACCAAACATCAAGCAACGGCAAGATCTTCAAGGTTTAAACAATCACATGTCTAGAAGAATGAAGGTGAAAAGCACTACGAGTAGATCGTCATATCCCCAAGACGTAAAGTAAGAAATACATCACAATCGGGACCGTAGTGATCGGATAACGTCTCGTCGGTAAGATTTAAAGGTGCAGAACGCGAACACTGTCAAAATGGAGCGCAATAACTACAGATGAGTTTGGTGTTCAAATTCGAGACGGGATATGAACCAGTGGATCCGACGATACATTTTCAGTTATGATGCAGTTGAGTGTTTTAGCTTAAAATGGATTTATTCATTTTTATTTTTTTTTCCTAATTTTAAAGTCGATTTGTGGGTTTTCAGTGCAGAAGTTAGTGTGGGTATTGATACGAAGACTTGGTCATCAACAAGTGGTCGTGTGGGGTTCTGGCACTTTTCACTACTGCTTTTTGTAGAACATTATTACATTGCTTAAATTTATCTTATCTTTTCATCATGTGGATGATTCCTGCTCTACGCAAATCGTACAGTAAGAAGAGTAAGGTGCTCTTGTTTATGCTTTTTTTTTCTAAGGTTAGCTCAACCTGAGATTAGTTAAGTCCATCAGGGGCTATTTGGTGCCAATATTATCAATATTCTACATTGGGTAGGGCTGGCCTGGTTCGGCCCTGCACCGGGCCATTCAAGCTCCCTTCTCCTTAAGTTCGAGAAAATGCTACTGGACTTGTCTGCAATCAAATTTCTCCGTTCAGTAGACAAAAGCTGACAGTTACCTGTGAAGATCTTGGAACTCCTTAGCAAGACAATCTCGGAATTTCAGAGAGAATGAAATCGACCAACATTCAACGACATTCGAAGTGAAGCACAAAATCCTCAAACAGTAGCTAATCGAGCCAGTGCGCATATCCGAAGAAATTCGTGGATAGCGGCTTCGAGAGAACGAATCGAATGCAGGAATTACTGAGCTCCGCACAACATGTGATGTCGGGTCGTCTGAAAAGATACTCTGAATGGTGCATGATGCAACGTGTTGAAGGATGTCAAAGAATGGAACAATATTTTATAAAACCGTATGAAACAGTCACCAGACTAACTCCATCGATTGAGTTAGATGTTAAACTCAACTCGTCTGTTTTATAGGAAGCAGATTTGGTAAGCGAAGTTCGTACGAGGATTTTTAGTTCGAAGAACATTTTACGAATTCTTGCGTTCAATCTTTATACTTGACAACTTCATTAGCTTTTTAGCCCGTCAAGAGGATTTCACCAGCCCCTAGTTATCAGCTAACTGGTGAAGCATGGGAGATGAGCTCATCAGCGATGACTACTGCGTTTACTTCCGGTGTTGAAGCGTTATTGTTGCCCAGCGTCAAGCACCTCTCACCTGGTCGCTTCATTGTCGGTCACATCAAACGCCACCACAATCATTGTCTAGCCTTTCGTTGCGCAAGCGTCATTATTTAAACAAGCAGACCTCGTAATTTACCTTATTAAAATGCCATAACCTTTCCTGTCATAACACCTACCTCGAAAACGGCAAACGTGAACATCTCTGCGAATTAATGCGATGGCCGGGCAAAAGGAACTCAACATGCAACGCTTCTAGTGTTAATTTTATCAGGGACGAAGAAATTGTATATTTCTCTATTTATTTACCTTGTTTGCATGTTTACTTATGCGACCAGACTTCATATAATGTAGGAACTCTATCACTTTTCCATTCGCTTCGTTGTCTTGCGTCTGTCGTCATTCATGAACATCGTCAGACTTTCGCATCCTCCAGTTCGGGACTTTCTCTTCCTTATGAACGTTGTTGAATGCCGTTTGAATTGACCGTCGCTAAAGCCCCTAATAGCTTTACGAGAGCGTTACACACCTTACCCAAAACAGCCACCAGTCTTTGTTGATCGAACCGAGTTTTTCTAGACTGGGTTGGTACCAAATAATCGACCTACTTGATGCTTGGTTGGCTTAGTTCTGATCAAACCAGCGATCGACCGAAATTTTATAGAAAAACCGAGTTACATTAGAACAGTGATGGGTGAAACGTTCGGCTTTGATAAATTGCTTTTGTATATGTCATGCTTTTGATTTCATTGAGCTTTTTTTGTATTTCATATTCGTTTTATGTTTTTTTTAATCATTGAACGTGAATTTGTCCTATACAGTGACTTTCGGTGGCCTGCCAGTATTATATTGGTGTCTTTTTCCGCCCAAACAAGTCTGATACCACTTTGTCGACCCCGGAAGGATGGAGCGCTTGATTTGCCTTGGGCAAAGGATTGAACTAACGAATCTGTATCTATTGCAGGGTCATCTTTAACCACTGCACTGTATGCAACCGTAGGTCAAGTCAACATTTTTCGGACTTCAACTTTTTTCAAACAGTGTTGATAATGACGATATTTATATGAGACTGAGAAAAACCTCGACTTAAAAATTTTTTGCAAGCTCTTGTTCTTGTTTTTTAAAACTGTTATCTGCTATAAAATAAAGAGGTTAGTGAAATACAACCACAACAATGGTGAGATATACGCAAAACGTGGACCCCGGGCCAAACTCATCTGCAGGAGACGGTCGAACGTCAAACAGCACAAGAACTCAAACAATTACCACACTTCACATTTTTTACTTAGATTCGCTTGATTGCAAAGTTAAGAAGAGCAAGCAACTGTGAATTCTAACCGTCTTTGTTAAGTTCGCACCTCAGTGAGCGTATTTGTATTTTTATTCCGCCGAAATAGAATCCAAATTTTATTTCTTTGTTTTTAGATTAGAAATTTTAGTTTTACAAACGGTACTGCGACTTTTAAGGGATTTTATGTCGATGTCCGTAAAGCACATCAGACTTATAAGAACATTTCCATTCTGTGATTGCACACGTCAAAAACGGCTTCTTATTTCGTTTCCTCAAATTTCCTGCTTGTAACTACCTAAGAACTCTAGCGTGAGCTATTGTATTCGGAACAAAAGCCAGACCAGCACTTTATGTGGAATTTTTTTGTGATTACGTAGATTGCATGTTCTACTTGCGTTTTTACCTATCTTCCGGTACTCATCGACCTTCGTTTAATGAACTCCTCGACGCGTCCCCATTTTGTATGACATCCATCCTATTCACTTCACTCATGAACAGCGTAATTGCGTGACGGTGACCGTGGAATAAGCGTCGCCCACTAGGTTGCCGGTTTACATTTCACATGTTTTCCAAAAAGTCAACAAAAAAAGGAACAGCTCTAATACGAAACATCAGAAGACGGAAACGTTGAGTCTGTCACTTGCTAGAAGTGATGTTTCGCTTGTGTGTTAGTCATAATCGCTCATGGGCAGACGAGTGTAAGGTGCTTGTGTACCCAGGGATATTCGGAAATTCTCACCACCCACATAACACTTCCGCATGTGCTTCCATTATTGTTGATGCCATTTATTGAACCATTGGCACCTCTGCTGAATTTCATTAGAATTTGCGCTCTTTAAGATACGGTAATTGCCCGCGATAAAGGGTTCAAGTTCCTTGACCAATCGTGGCAGCAACCATGTGTGAAGAAATGAGAGAGAAAATGGCAATTGTGAGTCATAAGGCTGATGTGCTGCGGTTGGAACTCATGAAGTGCACTCCGTTTGTGGCGACCGTTTGCTGAACTCATGGAAGATTCGTTTCTCATGCCTGGATAGCAAATAATTCTTGCTAGACATGTGGTTTCGCACTGCACTTTCTATTTATGCTAAAACATACTATGAGAGCTATTACGTTTCGTTGTCTTCATTGTTTTTATTGCATTTATTATTTTTTCTTGTTTACTGCACAACTTACAAGACGTACTTTTCTATTGATGAAAAACGTTGTTTAATGCGTTTCTACAATGTTTAAGGTCTTATTTCTAGTGGGATAATATGTATACCTGGTAGTATCCCTTGTTAACATGTTTTAGGAATATGTGTATATCGTATGCACTGAGCCAGAGTGTAAGAGTATGAGAAGACTTAAAGTAAGGTTCAAAGTAAGCCAATTATGTTCTCCAGGCCTAATTTTATTTTACCCACGCTTCTCTACCATCTATCATGGATGTATCTACTTTCTTTTTTCGACGAGAATCTCTTAAAATCTTCTTTGTATCTTACCAAAGTTATGATTTTCTGTACCCGAAACGTCTACAAATATGACTCAATTCGCATGGCTGGTCATAAAGTGCAAAATTACGAGCATCACAGTAAACCGTACAGGAATCTGCTGTTATGTCGAGCCGAATATTCGATACGAAATTGGGCTGCAGACAATTACTAGAATTTCGACAATATATAACTTGCTATGGTCTATGTTGTTGCACTTTTCATTCGTTCGTATAATAGTGGAAAATTCTTGAATAACGATCTTGCTGGATGTAAACATGATAGGGTGTAAAAAGTGCCCAAGTTACTTCTGGGTTATAGCGTTGATGATGTTCATTGCGTAGCGTTTTTCCCACGTTCCTCAATTGTCTGCAGTTTCTTTCATTGCTAGGGGCGGGATCAATTTGCTCCGCCCTTGTAGGTCGCCAAGCCAATCAACGCATTCGCAGCCCGTTTAGTCGCTATCGAGCTCCATTACTCTACGGTAGCTATGAGCATGCTAGACCCTCGGCAATTCCTGATGCCGGCGTTTTGCTTGAATCCTACCGCCAGTTCTCTTCTCAGTCAGCAACCAACTCAGAATTCTGCTGGAGGAAAACTCACACATTCTTTTCGTATTTCTGATCTCCTGGAGTCGCCAAGTGATAAAGCAGACACAAGCGCCGATAAAGGTAATGACAACGGATTTGTTTCCCTCACTCAATGATCTGATGATTTCTATGGCGATTATTCCAACAAAATCATTCGTTCTCTATCTGGTTGTGGTAAGATATGAAATGATCACTCTCTGCGTGGATCACTGCGTACCACCTGTCAATCTCGGAACTCATCCAGCCGTGTTGCATACAATACAAACGGGCGATTTCGGGTAATTTGCCATAGCTCGACTGGAAAATGATAGTGTTTACGCGATTTTCGACAGGGAATAATCTCATTGTAGTTTTTGCTTCTTTCAAGGGTCAAAAACCCTATAGAGTAATAATGTACTAGCTACTGCGAACTAATGTTGTAAGATCCGAAATACTTATAAATCAGTTCCTTTTTGCTTCAAAGTGACTCTTTCAGCATAATTTTTTAGAACATTCTACAACATCACGACCTGACACGCCAGATTCTGGTTGCTCTCAAGTTCGAAGTAGCCCCAATGACACAAGTCCACTTGGATCCAAGAAGGCGCGAAAAGCCAGGACAATTTTCACAGACAAACAATTGCAAGAGCTTGAATCGACCTTTGAGAAGCAAAAATATTTGAGCGTTCAAGATCGAATGGATCTCGCACAACGCATGGGACTCACTGATACGCAAGTGAAAACCTGGTATCAAAACAGAAGGTTCGTTCTCTACTATAACGTAGAATCGTCAACTCTGCCTTTTTTTCGATTTGCTGTTATCAGAGTTGTTCAGTTTGCTATATCATGCATTCAAATTGCGGAATACGCTATCTTATTTTAAGTCTGCTCTTTAACGCTCTCATATATGGTGCTTAAGATCTCGTGTAATATTCTCAAACGACATCAAAACGCATTATGCGACATTGTCCACCTAATATAGATGATTAAATTATCGGGGCCACGTTCTATTATTCTTGCGCTTATTAATAGCATAAAGTATCGCGTGTTGTTTTAAGAGACGTACCGCCATCTGGCGACTACCGTACGAATATCGCATGCGTCAAGATCTCTTTGATGGGTTATGAACGTTCGCATTTCTTGCGATACATCACAGATGTGTACTACACTTCCAATTATACTCGTGGTCTATGTCGATTTAACAAGAAAAAATCTGCATTATTCGTCAACTCCACTTCTGTGCCTATGTCATAATTTCAGGACAAAATGGAAAAGACAGGCTACAACCGGTATGGAACTGCTAAATGAAGCCGGAAACTTGGCAGCTGTTCAAAATTTGTTACGATCCAATCCATACTGGGCAGGTTATGTTGGTCAACTTGGTGGTCTTCCAACGCCACTTCCTCTTATGATGGGATTACCTTTGTCTGCAACCATTCCTTCTATTCCAAATTCACTTTCTTTCGTTCTTCCACCCACTTCTCACGTAATTCCTTCTAAGGAATCTACTCCGGTTGATGTCGAAGTTACCACTGCGAACTAGTACAGCTTGTGTCATGTTTATGATCTCTCATGTTATGTGTAAAAAAATAGCTGGATAAATTTGCTAAGTATATGGAGCACACATGTTGTACGAGTTAGTGAACCGTGAGATACGGTAATGAAGTTAATTAGTGGGCAAGATTATTCGATGGTAACAGACGTGATTTGGTCGTCTGTGGGCATCTCTTCGTTCATAATTAAGACAATACCATTATGTTCAACTCCTTTCGCAAATACATGAAATATTTCGTGTGTTGCCGTCTATTTTTTGAAAATTTCCGGCTTTTGTTTTTGTTACGTTTTCTTTCTGAAGTTCCCAATGAGGTTGCTCTGTGCTCGAAGTGTTTTCATCTTAGAAGAGTTTTCGAATTCAGCCATAAAAGGTTATCATATTAGTGTTTGTGAGGCTCATTACAGTCATGTGCGCTCACACGCGCCCCAACCTCAAACTGCTGTATGTCCTGACAGTAAACGCGCAACACCACTTGTTTTCACGCAGATGACGTATTACATAACACACAATAAGGATAATTGGTTCCTCAATGTTACCAAATAAAGATTTATGAAAGATAAGAGCAATATGCTATTTGAAATGCCTAATAACCGTTTATGCATGTGTAGTTGAAACTTCTTGTAGTGTGTCCGACATCACGTAGAGTCCACTTGTGACAAGATTGTCCATAATTTTTCCTCGTTTTTATCTTTTCGACCACACTTTTTTGAGACATTGATGGCGCTTGACATTGAAAGTGCTTCGAAAATTACGCCATTTCACACTATGCCTCTTGACGCTCTATTATACCATGTGAATCTCATCTAAAAGATAAACTAAGAGTTAATGAGGGCTGATGGAACTTTTGCCGCTGTTGACGAATCCGTGAATAAGCGTTGTGCGACACGGACTTTCCGACAAATACCTGCCCCGAAAGGTGCATCCAGAGTCGAAAACCAGCCTTGTGCAGTTACCCTCGCACTTACGAACACACTCATCCGCAATCTTAGCAACTAAGATGATTGTGTCCTAGCGTCGTAATTGAGTTTAGGGACGATTGGTGTTAGTGCGGAAACCGCCAATTTGAGAATACGAGGAGGCCTCCATCTCAATTACATATTCGACTTCTGTGCCTCAACACTCAGAACAATGTGGGTGTTGTGGAAATCCAGTTAGCACTAAGCGCGCCAAATAGCACATCGAAACCGACTCACACGCACTCACTCCATCCGTCTTACTGTATTTCAATTATTTGCAGAAAGCGTGACCGCCCGCCATTAAATTGTTGTTTTTCACGGATCCCGATTGCCTTGTAAGGAAGTCCATGACAGTCAGACTCTAAAGCGACGCTCGACCTCTCATTAGGGCCTTCTACCGCGCGATGTTTGTCGCCTTCCTACATATATAGCCTTGTGCGTCGGCCTTTCTGAAGTGACAAGACAGATGAGTTGTAATGGCTCTCATAAAGGGCATAATTATGAGAATTCATAAGTGAATTTACAGTCGGGATCGAGTCAGCTTGCCCAATAATGAGATAGCGATACGATTAGTGCATGAACGTTTCATAGATTCTGATGCTTCACATTAAAAAAATCTGCCCATGTATTGCTGATGTTTATTGTAACAGTTCTCAGAATAAGATAATAGGAGTGATAGGGTCTTGTGAAATGTGGTAGAATTTTTTCCTCAGTGGTTATATCATAGGATGTATTCTGGCTTTTGTGATCAACCCATTGTTGCTGTTTCAACCACCAACACGACAACATTGTAAGTTCCGGATTTGTTCTTGCATGAAAGAATAAATAACAAATGGGTGGAAATTTAAATGTTATTACTTAAGCCTTACAACTATATTACGTGTCTTATATATTGGAGCATAATAATTGTGAAGCTACAGTAAGTTTAATTTAGCTGTTTGAATATGCTATGAACGGGCAGACAATGGGACCGGCATTGTGTTAAGTCGTCTCACATTCGCTCGACATGGTGCTTTCGCAGTAATCATTCAGCCAGTTCTAGCCCGGCAAACAGCAATGGGCTGCCACCTTTTGTCATTTTCCGAGCTATCGCTCACCAATTCGCCTTGTGTGCAAACATAAATACTGCTGATTACGGAAGCCCTCTTCTTAGCAAAATGATTATGTCGCAGAAGCTGACTACGCCCTTCTTGAACTTGCTAATCACCTAATTTGTAGAATCTCATTTTTGTGGAACTGTTGGTGCGGGGGCTTAATTTGAGAATCCGGTGGCGCTAATTTCCTATGCAGATTTCTGCTACTACATAACTAGAGACATTATGGTACTTTTAAACAGTGGTCGACTTTCGGGAAACAAACTAATTTGAAGTCCAGCACCTTCTGCGAGAAGGTGTAGTAAAAAAAAACAGTCTGCCATCGTCGCTGCAGTGGATTTGCCTCGCGTATCAGGCTCGTTGATCTATTAGTACTGAATCTGACCTTATCGTTATATGGAGCGTCTTCAGAGTCTTTGGGAATGCAACGAATACGGTATGCCGCGGAGGTAAATCGTTCTATAATTGCTACTCACCACCTCATATAACAACACTGTGTCCTTACGATGCGCACAATTCAGTTATAAGTCTCTTCGATATTGCGATTTAATCGACAGCAGGGCACCAGCAGTCATCGAAGAGGTCATCAATGAGAAAAAAATTGACGCATCTCATGCAGCGCTTTCAGAAGGAATGCGATGAAGGAAGATAACTACGGTAAGACGATTTGGTGGTGTTTTTGAAGCAAGAGCCGTAGATGGACGCTTCGCAGACTAGATTACTTCAATGAGATTGCGCCCAGGGCGTTGGGTTCGTAGCCGGATTTAGATAAATTCGAAGCACCCTAATGGAACAGAATTAATCACCTTCGGATCGAACCAGAGCAGTTCGACACCTATGCTGGCAAATAATTCGTGCGCTACCTCATGAACTTTCAAGTGGTGTAAATGATTTTGAAAAACTATCTACTACTTTGTCTATACCGTTATTTAATTAGTTCACAGAAGACAATTGCCATAATCGGCTTGACCCGGTGATGAAGACAACAGCCATTGTGCGATCATCAGCTAATCAAGCACTCGAATTCTCGTCTACACGGTAATTGTAAGATGTTTCCGGTTATTCAATATCTATTGATGATGTGGTAGTTTTATCCGTTGGATTGGTAACAGACTCTACTTGCGTAGGGTAATGCATAAGCTGTAAGAGAGTTCGTAAAATTTCGAGAGCTTATTTAAGTTGTTCCAAAACATAAAGATGGAGTAAGAGAAGTATCCTCACTCGATGAGGGTATCAATTAGAGGAGTCAGTGCCAAGCACCATAAAGGGGTCCTCCATGGGTATTAGCGCGCGGTTTTTCTGGCAAATTGAAAGGAAGTTTGTGCACGAAATGAGGCAAACAAGGACGAAATCTAAAGCCACTCGGAAACATACGTTTATTTAAAATTTTTGCATAAAAATATCTCTATCGCTGTCTTTGCGACGCAATAAGGTGAAAGCCATGGTGAACGTTTGGCAACGCGTCGGTGTAAACTAGCTTTATATTTTTTTGAACGGATTTTTGAAACGTATTAGGAAACATTTCTTCATTTTCTGCACACTAACGTATTTAATAGATTAGTGAACTATTTAGTACAAATGCTTCTAGGAAAACCAGTCATGGCTAATAATTTTCACCACAGTTGCAACGAGATTTTGGTAAAGTATGTTAGCCGGGAGAGAAATTAACAAGAAAGATGCTAGAAGATAGGTCTGAGGGCGAGAACGAGCCAAATTGAAATTAAAGGATTTCGCCGTAAATTCTGGCTTTGCCAGAATACTACATTTTCACAACAATTTTTGGCACTGTTAAGCTCTGAACAGCAACCATGTAGATGAGCGTACGAGACATGTTTCCGGTGGTAACAGTTTACGCAGAACTGTGACCTCGCCTCCAATAGGTATCATTGAACACAATGCACTCCTCTCCATTACCAGCTCACTCAATTACCAAGGTTATCCGACAAATTACACGCAACGACGTCTCAAAGCCAAATATGCGCACCGGAAGTGGTTAATTACTCTTCATATTCGCTTAAGAACAAATCGAGAACATTCCGAACCGAACCTAAAGTTTCGCTGCGTGATTTCCTGAAAAAGGTAGCTGTTGAACAGATGGTGATTTCTGTCGACAGCTGACTGACGCCATTGCGAACAACAATTATCGTTTCGAACGCTAGTTTGCATCAGGTGTTAGCAACGTTACGGAGGACAATGAATAGCTATAATCGGTGGAGAGATGGAACGGCGTCAGCGAAATGATTAATGTTGTTGGATACTTTATTTGCTCATTTTTGAAAACCGTAATGTAGCGATGAATGTCCAGCGAACGACAACTTACCATAGCAATAAGCCTCTTAACACTTTCATTACTAGAAGAGAAGGAACCACGAATTTTCAATGTCTAAGTAGTAATAAGTTGATGCACTTAGTTCTCATAGTTCATAATGCAAAGTTTTTATGTGCTACGAAGTTAAAATTCAGAACGGTTTTACCATCTATATACTTACTTGCATGGCTGGATGGTCCGTTGCCGAATGGGCGCCGCACAAGGACATTGGGAAATTATTCAAAGGGATTTTTCGCCATGAATTCCAAAATTCTCCACAAATGCTCTCAGTATTTGTCACCAGAGCTCTATAGGTTTGCTGAAAATTGTTAACCGTACTGATTAGTTCCTTAGATAAGAGTGGAAATTTATTCTGGCATTCGGCTAGGTTTGCGCTTAGATTTACCAACACAGGTATTTCACTGTCTGAGGCAGTAAACCACTCTTGTGGCACCAACTTCATCTACAAACGTAGGTTTGTCACCAGCTTCCGGGTTGTGCGTTAAATTAGAGAAAGAGCCTTTGGGAGTTCAAAATTTGATGGTTCGTAGCATTCGCATGGTACCGATTATATGACCCCAATAGTCGTACTCACTAAGGTTCTTTTCTCGAATATTTCATTTTCTCTTA